ACAGTAGAACTAACTGACTCGACGTTCATATTGAAGGTTGTGACTCTGATATTGGTTGACAGTTGTTTTGAGTTCCACGTGCTCTTCAATTCTAGGAATGCTGCCCTTGCTTTGACAATCCTCGCCTTTACGTCTGCATCCGATCCTCCTTGTACATCGATGGTGTTTCCCAGGTACATGGAAGATTCCACTACTTCCAGTGCTTCTCCATTAAGTGTGATTGGGCTGATGTTCTTCGTGTTGTATTTGGAGATCTTGCTTTTTCCTCTATGTATGTTGAAGTCTACTCACGCAGAGGTTACAGTTACATTAGTTGTCTTCTGCATTTGTTGGTGTGTATGGGATAGAAGGGCCAGGTTATTTGCGAAGTCCAAATATTCTAATTTATTCCGATCTGTCTATTGTATTCCGTGTTTCCTCTCATATGTTGAGATCTTCATAATCCAGTTAACCACGAGAAAAAAGGTGAGAGTAAGCAGACTTGTTTGACACTGGTCCTCACTTGCAATACATCTGTCAACTGTCCTCCATGTCCATGGGGTTTGAAGGAAGAATTACGACACCTCAGGATGAAAGAAGAGATTCTTCGGAAGTCATGAACCTGATGCCATTTCCAATAACCAGGTACATGGAACTACTGGACAATGTTACTGACTGAGAAGACTCGTCAAATAGAAACAGAAATGAGGAGATACAATTTGACAGTACTTGGAATCAGTAGACACTGGTTAGCATTCAGTAATTATTTGATAGTGTACTGAAGATCAAGATTAAAAAGTGTAATTTAGCGGAGAGCCAATAAGACTGAAAATACAAACCATCCGAGTTTTAGTTAAATTTCAAAATACGATAATAATATACTTTGAGCTTATTAATAGCTAAATAGATCTAAATCCATATTTAGCTCTCAAGATGTAGAAAACTAAGAAACATACCCGTCGTACATTCATACAGTGAATACAACATGATATGAAGACTAAGTGATGATAAAACTTTTAAATAAATGCCCAATTCGATTTTCTAGACTCTTCTAATAATCCTAAATTGAAAGGCATCAAATACAAAACTAATGACTGATAATAAGGATCTCATTGATCATCAAAACTAATCGAATAGATTTAAGAATAAAACAGTTAACTTTGTCTAAAGTGAACTGAATCATATTTATTATCATTATCCAGTAACTTTAGTTGATATTGTTTTACTTGGATCTTCCCATTGATGTTTAAGACTGTAATTGATCAATCTCTTATTGGTATAAGTGTATACTGTGCTTTATGCATCGATATTACCTTAAGTAACAAGCGTTATAAACAAAGATGGATAGTACTTGCTTGTAGTGGAATCCAATTTGATATGTGTTTCGTCCTATTTGGGACTCGTCAATTGGATATACTTGAATCCTAAAGTTGATGTTCACTCTGAAACACGAACTCAATACTATTCTTTTCAAAAGTAAACGAGTTATCCATTCAACTACTACATCCTGATAGCCACTTGCTTATGCAATGGGATAAAGTTTAGATTCACTTCGTATTATTATTATTATTATTATTATTATTATTATTATTGTTGTTGTTGTTGTTGTTGTTGTTGTTGTTTAAGATTGTAATTGATTAAGTTAATTTCATGATTACACTGTGTTCTCTTGTATCACCCCCCCCCATCTGTAAATGATTTCATACAAAATTGACAAAATCTAACAAACAAACAACAAGTGAATGAACTTAATTTTGTTTTGTTTCTTGTTTGTTTGTTTGTTTTTGTTTATTTCTTTGTTTGTTTATTTCTTTCTTGTTTTAATTCTCAACTTCTGTTGTTGTGGTTGGTGGTGGTGGTGGTGGTAGTGATGGTGGTGGTTTTCATCGGTGAGAAATTTGATACCTTACTGTTATTCTTCATTGATTAGTTGTTTTTCTTTCATGATTAAACTCCTTTTTTGGGGGAGGGGGAGGGAGAACAATATTTATTTATTTATTTATTTATTTATTGATGTTTCAAGATAGTTACAGATGGTTTGATAAGATTTTCTTTTAATTGAATAATACACGCAAACTTCTTTGTTTTGGTTTACTTTTTCTTTGAAAGTACGGTGTTCAATTACAGAATTTTCTATTATACTAAAGTTTAATGAATATTATGTAACAATTGAGAATATCAAATTCATGATTTCAATTGTTTTATTATTGAAGTGACATTCTTTAAGATGAAGTATTCATCGGGATTTTGAACAAAGTCTTCCACTTATTCATTATTCATCATCTATCTTCATTGTTTTCAATGAACTATGAAGTTAACTAGAATTATTATTTAGTTTATAAGTAAAGATAGATAGTGGCTAGAATCACTGGAATTCAGTTTGACGCGTGTATCTTCCTATTTAGGACTCATTAACTGGATGTACCTTCATCTCAGAGTTGATGTTCATTCTGGGACTCGAATTAAAGCCATATAAACTGAAAATTACTATAAACTATCAATTGTGTCATTCTATGTGATAATTGTGTTTGAAATAAACTCAACGACTGATATTTAACGAGTTTCAACGGTTCGTCCAGCATACTGATCTGAACTTCTTTCAGAGTAATAATCTAAATGAAGATCATCAGTGGAATATATAACGTTTAACAATCAAAGGATCAACAAGAATGGTAGGTTGCTCATACCGGTCAAATGTCATTAGTTTGGCACATTGTTAAGATTGTATAAGTCATATTCCGATTGATGGATAAATCCTGTGATAATTAGCGGATCATAAAGTCACAACACTCTGAAGTGGTTCATAGAAGATTACTGGACGAAATGTTGAAATTATTTATATTTCAATCGCTGAGTCTATTTCAAATGTAATTTTCACATATAATGACTTCTTTATACTCGGTGCCCAGTTTTTGTCAAACTATTCGTTCACATAGTGACGAACATTCGTGAGTCGACATAGCTTGGATTTAGTTTAAGACATTAGATGATTTTGGGTAGTCAACAAACAACGTTCAACCTAGTTTTATTCTAGTGAATACACATGGAAAATGTGTATCGGTAATGTTTAATGAAAGGATGTGTCCGTACAGGACTCGAACCTGCATCGCCTAGCTTCATAAACTCAAGTATCACTACTAAAATATACAAGGGGCAACTGACTTTTTGTAGGACAACAATTGATTCCCCTAATCAATAGCCCTGCAATCAGATTCCAGTTTGTAAAACTAGATAACATAGGTCATAAGCCTAACTCAATAATTAGTTCCCATAAGAGTTTAGGTACACCTAAAGAATAAATGCCAGCTAACGTAAAATCTATGTCTAATGTTTCCTCCAGACTACATCCAACCACTTAAGATTTAGTAAACAATATGTTCACTTTCTAAGTGATTTGTACTGTGTTTAAATCTAAATAAAAAGCTGAGATTAATGAAATCAACTCTGTCGAGATTCAGTTATGTTAGTGTGTAGGAATTATTTGGTATAACGAGTACTATCTATGCAAAATATCATGATAATTTATAAACTGGCTTTCATATACGGCAAATCATTTGACATAAGATTCTAGTTAATCAGTCGGTATATTTGATGAATTTTAAAGGCATAATGTGGTGTGTACTACTAATATGTTAACAAATATAAGTAGTATGTATCATCAATCGAAAGTGAAATGTTTGGAGGCAGAAAGTTAAGAAAATCGAAGAAAAGAGAATAAGAACATTTCACAGGTCGAAATCATGAGTCAACTGAAGCTAGACCACTATGGAAAACCTGGAAGCACTGGACGGCCGTCTCGTCCTAGTATGGGACTCCTCAGCAGTGCTCATCCACGTAAATGATCGTTGTGAAAACGAAAGAACAATGAAGTCTTAGACGACTGATTGACATTTCACAAATGAAATATTTACTATTTGTTTCTCAGATTTTACTAAGACATTATCCCGACCATAGTTGCTACCTTGACGCGGTGGTTGGGCTTGCCTATCATGATGACCCAACCGAGCTATATTGGCTGGAACATATGTTCCTGTAGGTTCTACCATGCCAGGCAGGTCGATTGGAGAACGGTAAGACCAAAAGCAGCAACTCAAGGTCTAAGGGCGAAGTCGTACTGCTGACTGTAGAGAGGTGTGACAGCAGTAAGGTGTTTCCCTCGGACAACCAGCATCTGCAGCGATGCTGCCTTCTCACAAGGAAGAAGGGGGTTAGAAAAGGTCGACCCTAAAAATGTCACACCTCACCTTACCTCACAGATTTCCATCTCCGGCGGTAAGACCCTTTGAAGAACAGAGCTAACACGTCAAAAACCCCCCATAAGAAGGCCGTGCGCGACCGGCCTCAAGCAGTTGTCCCTTGGGCTCTGCGGTCACGCTCCAAGGTCGTTAAGGCCAAAATTAATCCAACTTCTTTTTCAGGTTCCTCAAGAAATACCCTTCCACAGTGTGGGCAGACGGGAAGTGATATCAGCCCGCATACCCGTAACAGCACATGAGACCAAGTTGGTCACATTCGAATCCTTCCTACACCTCCTGACTGACTGACTAAGACATTCTGTAATTTATGTATTCAAATACATTCGGTTATCCTCACTTGTGTTCTCGTTCATTACAACAGAACAGTAATAACACATTTTGCTTTAACGACTATTGAATTTGAGCTTTAATTAAACAGCCATTAAAAGTCAGAATGTATAGTATGAAAATACTTAATAGCATTCATCTACAGTGCTACAGCACTAATCTAATCCACGAAATTCAAGCATCATACTGTACCTCTAATTATTAGACTGTTGAGCTAGTATACAACTTCAATCAATTCATAATACTGTCCAACTATCTATTTATTGTCAATTTGTCATAGATATCGTATATTGGACTAGAATTGTTTACCGTTTCCTAAATTCTAATCCTTGCCATTAGAAGACATAGTTGAGTCATTTTACATCTTAATCTTTATGCGGTGACACAGTTTTGAAAAGAGGTCCCAGTTGAAACATTCAAAGAAGACTTTGATCAGTAGTGGAGATGTGTATTTTCATCAGATGCGACAAATCTGTAATAATAATGACTAAAACAGTATACAATTGAATTAAGATAAAAATAAAGATTGTTTATTTACACAAGGTATAATCTAATGGACTATCTAAACTATGAAATGAATATGATACATTTGAACTGGATAATGTTTGATCAAGTGATTGATTGATTATGGATTTTGTTGAATGTAATTCCAGTGGAATTTCCTCCTCCTCCTCTTCTTCTTCATAATCATCACCATCGACTTGTGATTCATTCTGATCAAGATCAGTCTTCTGATCACCTTCATTGTGTACATGATATTCTTGTGACTTCATCATTTTACAGATTGTAGCATCATTATTTACATCAGTAACAACAACAACAGCACCCTCATCATCATCATGATTACGAGTAGGATCAAGATCACTTTGATTGAGTTTGTGATCAATCAAGTTGACCACATTGAAACTGACATTGACTGGATGTTGAGTGGAGAGTGGATGAGATCTGAAGAATACAGAATCGAGTGAAGAACATGATGAATTCACATATTGACAATCAACTCGATGGTGATCAGAGATAGGAATACTGAGAGGAATGATAGTGTTTGTTGTGTGGGTAGTACTGGTGATGGCGGTAGCATGTGTATTGTTATTATTACTATTGGTAGTAGTAGTAGTAGTGGTACTGTTAGTAGTAGTTGTAGTAGTAGTAGTAGTGGTACTGTTAGTAGTAGTTGTAGTAGTAGTAGTAGTAGTAGTATGGTTGGTACTTGCAATTGAATTTGGAACCAGCAATACAGGCTTGTCACATGTGCGTTTACCATCCATGTCAGGTTGAATGGATGAATGATGATTTTTGAGTAAATGCATCAAATTGATGTAGAAAAGATCGATCAATGTGTCGTTGGTGCAACTCGATTTGCATAGTTGATTGGTGGTGTTTAGTGTTTGGATTGATTGTTTGAATTCAGTGGAATTATTCATTCGACTTGTCGGTGATGCATTTATCGGTGATTGGTGAGGTAGTCGGTGTGAATTGTGTACGAGTGGGACAGGTGATGGATTGAATAGGAGAGTTGTGATGTTCGATGGATTGTTTGTGTGGTGGTTGTTAGTAGAATCGGTCAATTGATCGAATGTGAATAAGTTTGTGTTTGTGTTTGTGTTTGTGTTTGTGTTTGTGATTGGTATTGATGTATGTGGTGGATTGTATGATTTGGCATTGAATGTGTGTTCGTGTGTTGTGAGTGTTGGAGAGGAATTTGGTGTGAGTGTTGACCTGATCAGCTGATATGTGGGTATGTATGGATGTAGAAATCGGAGAAGTGTTTGTGGAATGAGTGGAGAATTGAGTGTTGGTGAGTTTCGGTGATCAACTCGATCACCACTAACACCACCACCACCATCACCATCAACGTCATCACCATCATCATCATCGTCGTCATCATCATCATCATGAATTTTATCGTCAGGTCGACTCAGTCCTAATGCTCGACGTACTTTGCGTTGTGCTCTACGTCTTCTGAAGTCACCACTGAGAAAGTCTTTCAAGTTGGCTGGATGGATTCCCCAATAGTGTCCTTTCCCATTTGCTGCTCTACCTGTCAAATAAATGTACAATATAAATTAGATTTCAATCAGATTCATTTGTTGAGTGATAAATTGTGTGGAACATGCAAATGAATTATCTGAAATTAACTTCCGAGTTATCGAAGAGTTGACGGAATTCGTGGTGTTATGCTTGATGAGAGTAGTGAATGGTTGTGCAAATCAGGAAGCAATCTTCAACATGATGTGTTTGAACGGTTGGAGTGTGTTTCTTGATTAACCGTGATGTGGAATACGGATTGTTCACCATGAGTTACACTGAGTAGTTATGAACATAATCGTCACGTCTCACATTCCATGGAAATCACGGTTTCATTTGTGCAAATTGGAATATTATTTATGGTGATAATTGGTAGTGAGTGGCTTACTGCCATCATCAGTCTCCCTCACATATTCATTTTCCGATAGGTGGTGGTTTCCCAGTTTACATTGAGTAGATACTTAGAATGTTGCTGGTGATTATCAATATTGAGTTGTGGACATTGTTGAGTACAGACTGATATTATGAATGGATCAATGTTAGGCCACCATTGAAAAACTGAGAGAACTGGACGGACATTTTGTTCTCATATGGGACTAATGGACATTGCGCATCCACGATGCCGCGCGCGAGACCGAATGTCTATGCCACTGAACCGGGTGAATGAATGACCACTGACCGGTTACCAGTCACTCGACACATTCAGTATCGTCATTCGGATAATTTCGGTGAACAAAACACACTGTTCTCATAATGGAATGAATCAGTGAATGAATCAGTGAGTGAAACGTCACAATTGCAATAACAAACACACACCATCACAACACCTAACAACTTACCGACTTTAATAAAACAATCATTCAATGACAAGTTGTGTCGAATGGAATTACGCCATCCTGGTCCACGTGTACTGAAATATGGATAACGTAGTTGAATCCATTGATATATTTCTGACAATATCATACGTCTTTCTTGTGTACTGAGTATGGCCTTTGCAATCAATCCTAGAAGGTTTCGATTGGAAGAGAATAAACAAATGGTCAATTTTACTGAATAATATGTGGATAAATGACAAATTAATTGAGATTTAAGTGTGCACTATTAGAATTACCAGTTGATTCACTGATTACATTGAAATACTTGGTCGGTGTCTGTTGAAGTCTAGTCAATTCTACATTAAGACTGTTATATCTTCCGTAGTGGTAATCAATACTGAAGTCAGCAGCAACATCTCACATCACCTCATTGTCTACCACTATTTCACAGATTTCGCTGCTGTTTATTGAGGGAGAGAATTTCGTGAAGATGTTTGTTCGACAGATCTGTTTATTGATGATTGAAGTGTAACATGCAGGAAATTGATCTTAGAAAGGATATTGGTTCCAGTGATGACAGTGATCACAGTGATCGAATGGCATTACTTCATCGTGTGTTCATATTCAATAAACAAGATTGTGTCAGTTCGAGTCAATTGAAATTTCATACATGAAAATGATGGGAAGAGACTGTAGTTCTCTCTAATTATTTTATATGCAACATTCGATTACTACTTATTAGTAGCGAAATGTGAAGATGAAATGATGAGTCTTGTGATCTTAGATAGACGGAAAGAAGACACACACACACACACAGTCACATATTCATTATATCAGTCCACTTTCAAATGAGTTCGTTTCCATTTCCAATGATCATTTGTGTGCATATTACGATTGAATAATGATGATTATACTACTGAATATAAAGATCGATTGGGACAATTCACAGACGACAATTTTCTCTTTTCGACTTTATCATTTACTGAATTCATCATTCACCATATGCGTACTGTTCACTTCAATGTTAACTTTATTCCATTCATCATAATTCTACACCATAATTATGGATGATTATGTATACTATTAGCAATATAACTATGATTATTACTATTATTATTATTATGACATCAGTGTAACAGGAGAGGTGTTGGTGTATTCGCAGAGCATACACTCAACCACAAACATCCAAATGATTGTTGCAAGTGGTTCATTGAGAAACAGTAATCAAACTGTTTGTTTTACTGACAATTTACATCAATCTCAGATGTACAAACCACAATCACTCACTCACACTCACACACACTCACATACAATATTATCTCACAGGTATATTATAACACTTGATTAGCATATTGAACACACTGTCCCCTTTCATTTGTAACAATGTGTAAGTGATGAATGAACAAATGAATGAATGATTGTGGTTGAGATGAAAATCAAAACACTTTGAAAATTAATTGAAGGTTACCCGGAATTGTGTTTACCACGCCTGTCGAAACACACAAACACACTGATAGATCAACATGACACTATTCTACAGCTCGTGTTAATAACCTCATCATCATCATCATCGTCATCATCATCGTCATCATCATTACAGACATCAGAAATTATTATTATTATGATTATTATTATTATCATTGAGAGTATTCTACCGATCAGCGTTAATTAACACTCACTCACACACACACACACTCTCTCTCTCTTTTTCCTCACAAACAAACAAACACACACACACTTGATCAAGTAAACTTGAAAGTGGATTGTATATCACAGTCAATTATGATTACGTCATAAGTGGTCATTAATCATAATCATAATACCATTAATTGTTATTATTCATAGTAATGATATGTTGTAATGGATAATGGAAAATACTAACAGGAGATTCTATGTGGGACATTCAATCCACATGAAATGGATACACAAATGAAAGCAAATTGTGGGAAATGTGCAATGGATATATCAGTTTATTCATAATCATAATAGTAATGATAATAAGTATTGTGTATTGTATGAGTGAAATTGATTTTGGTCGGATCAGTGATAACAATGAGAATGTATCAATGAAACAACCGGTTTTGTGGAGTTGTGTCATTTCACTGATTCACACAATCCATGTGTCTTCCATCTCTGTTAAGATTTTACGATTCTAGTTGTACTGGTATTTCACTCGATTGAATTAGTTGTTGAATGATGGACACTTGTTGTGGAATATCATCTTCGATATGATTCCTAATGCTTAGTAGATATCACTTGTCGTGATCACCGTGAATGGATAACACCGAATAGAATATATAGATTTGAGAAGACGAAACGAGTCGTTGATCACTGTTGATTATGGTACAAGTCAGATCACAAAGTCACAAGTACACAAAGAGAATATGGGAAGAAATGTGAATGAGATCCATTGAGGATGAATAATGAGACGAATAAATTGATCAGATTTAGTGAGGAAATAGATATGATTATGGGAATGGAATGAGTGCCTGAGTGATTTAAACATTTAACATTTAGGCAGGTAAGAGGGAATTCTGTGAAGGTTGTGACAAGCATACATGTTCATACACACAAGATAATAATAGAAGTAATAGGAAGATATAAACAAATGATTACTGTTCTAATGACAAAGTCTGTTAAGTAAGTTAACTACAGCACCTAACAAATTTAGACGAACGCAGACTGATGTTGGTGTGGTACAGTACACTGCCGAACTCCACAAATATCTATACACATTAAATGTCCACATTTGACGAGAACAATGGAACTGCAGACAGACAGTTTGTTGGTGAACAGTGAGGCATTACCCACCGAATTTGTGCAATCACAATCTACTTTGTCTTGTGAATTCACCACAAACCACACTGTTAAATGACGACGATCAATCATTTCGACTTTCGCATACAATGTCTTCTCTATACAATATGAACAAAACCGCAGTATTTGATTGAAGATATCTGATCATGGAATAGTTCAATGGATCTGATAACATCGAGTATTTTACTGTAATGTTGTCAGATCCAAACAATAACAGTAATATTTGATTAGATCGATAAATGCATTATCTGACCTACAGTGAATAACATGAAGCACTTGACAGAAATTCTCATTATATCTTCTTAACGAAAACATTATTGTTCAAACTTATTGGATCGGACTACTGAATTATTATGTGTGTAAATAGCAATGGAATGAGGAGAGAATGTATGTTTCGTACTATCCTAAAAAACTCGTACTCACTACCCTGTATTCTCCCTTCTACAAGGTAAACAAAAGTTCTCTCAGTTATTCAATGCAAGTATTCTCTCGTTGTTGGTTTATATTTGAGGGATGAACGGATTAGTTGTTTGTCGTGTATGTGGCACTTAAACAGATACCTGAGTGTCACGTATATTTAACTTAAATTGTCAATCGTGTTTAATGAAAGAGACTACAGTGTGCGTTTCATTCCACACGGAATGATCTCCCTCACCAATTCAGTCGTGAAAATACCCACAACCACAAATCTCACATTCTTATTTACAATCAATCACATAGTGTAATCAGTGTACTTCGTAGATAATGAGTGTGTTATGCAACAAATCACCCACTCATTGAAATTAAGGAAGAATTTCCTTGTCATGCATTCAATCAATCAATCAGTGAATTAATCAGTTAACCAAACAACTACAGACTTACCAATATAACTGAAATTCGGTTTCGGTTCATCTTCTGTGATCAGATCACACGACTTGACATTGTGAGTTTGGAATTGTTGTTGTTGTTGTTGTTGTTGTTGTTGATGGATGGCGATGGTGATTGCGGTGATGACGATGATGTTGACGACGTTGTGGATGATTGCGATGTAATCCCTTTATTTTGGCCACATTCACAGTGTTGTCGTTGTCGTCGACAGGTGGAGTGACATTGTTCGTCTGTACATTGTTCCATTGGTTGATGTAATTGTGGTATGGAATGAACAAGGAGTTGTACTGTTGTATACCAGAATGAAGATGACGATTACAATTCGTATTGTAATGATGAATAGTGTTTGTATGAATAGGTGATGTTTCGAATGCTAAGCGGAATGGATCTGTTTGTGAGGAAAGCGAGTGAGAATCACTGTGATTATCCACAATAGTGTGAATCACAGATGTGGACGAGGTAGAATTGGGAATGGGTAATATGGATGAGATCATCTGTGCAGTTTGTGGTGTGAACCAGTTGGATGTTGGATGGATCATATTGTGACTGGTATTACTAGTATGATCATGATTGTTATCATCATCAACATCATTGTCGTCATAATCACAAATTTGCATGAATTGGTGGTGATTGGAGAAAATATTTGATGGAAGTGTATTGTTGTATGACATGATAATGAGAGACGAGTGAATGATGAGTTTGCAAAGATCCTGTGAGTATGAGTGTGAAATGAAGTTATCTTTGGAAGTGGTTATGATACTTTCCAGTCAATATGATTGATTTGTTCCAAGTATTCCACAGGACATCAAACTGATAAATCGTAATGTGAACTGTCACTAATCACAATTGTAATGTTGATGTTCTCTCTGCCAAAATCACAATATAAGTAGTATGAACCGAACAATGTGAATAAGAGAATGTGATTCTGTATGAATCAAACGAACTGAATAATCTTTGATGAAAATATTCGGTTGAATGCTGGAACAAAAATAACGAGTTTGCTCAACAATCTACCTTTCTATTGGTTCATGTTGGATTGACCAATGAAAACATAATGAGATTGGACGCATCATTCACTGATTGGTTGAAAGTAATGGGGAGTGTGTGTGTCTGAGAGAGAGAGAGAAGGGGAGTGAGGAAAACTTGATGAGAGTGGAATGAAATAAATGTTGTCCAGTGAATGAATGAAAACGTGGTTGAATTTGTTGTTGTTTAGTTGTGGTAGTTGATGTCCTCGTGTTGTTGATTTTCTATTGTTTTGTTACGAAGGCTAATTGAATGTGCATGTGTCACTGGTGAACATACTTATTGTTTGTTTGTAGAAATTCACGAGAATAGGGAGGGGTAATTGTGTGTGTGCTTGTGTGCATGTTGTGTGTGTGATATGAATATCATCTGTTTACTGATGAAAATAGAACAAATTATGACTAAATGTAGATTGATTCGGTGTCTTCTGTCTGTCGGCATCTCTCTCATATTGTTCTTCATGTCGTTGTCATGTCCATATAAATCCAACGACTTAGTGTGTGTGTGTAACAGTGACACTTCTCAGAATGTCATTGATTCCCTTAAGGTTTCGGAAATTCATTCTACTATAAAACATTATGGGAATATCTGTTCCTTTCCATTCCATTCCATTCCTCATATGTCTGACTAGTACTGATTAATAATGATTTAAAATATTTCACAAGTTGAAATCATGAGCCAATTGAAGCTAGACCACCATGGAAAACCTGGAAGCACTGGACGGCCGTTTCGTCCTAGTATGAGACTCCTCAGCAGCGCGCACCCACGAACCCGCCCCCCGCGGGATTCGAATCCAGGACCTACTGGCTTCGCGAGCGAGCACTTAACCATTAGACCACTGAGCCGGCATCCAACGGTGTTAATGTCTAACTTCTAAAAATCTCCACAAAAACCCATTCTGATTTAAAATATTGTTACATGACTTTTGATTTTGACTAAGTAGACGATTTCATTGTTGTTGTGTAAATTGAAGAAGGCTACATAAGTCGGACCAAAGTCGATTGTGAATTAGGATGTTTAAGTAATGTATCTATGTGTGGTTCGAGTCCATGAGAGTTTAACTTCGTTTTATAAGATTGTTATGAACCTGTGAACCTGTGTTTACACTCACATTCAGTAATAATTCTCATTGAATGAAGTAGTAGTAGTAGTAGTAGTAGTCGTTTCAGTTACTGTATGAATGATGGAAGAATATAGTAGTACATGGCATTGATATGTTTAAATCATTCATGTCTGATACACTAGAGGTTACCAAGTCTCTAATGACGTGGCGTTCGATTGTAGTGTTTAACTAGTCTACGAGAGATAGAGAGATACATATGATCTCTTATTGTGAATGTTGTCTTGTTAAATTTATCTTCATTCAACTTGTTGTTTATCAAATATCCACTAACAGCGGTTAGTCTCATTGCTCTATTGTGTATTTACTAATATTGACACACACACACATACACAAACGCAACATCTCCCCATTCACAATCTCTGATTGAGAAAACCAATAAGCAAACAGTCGATCACATTGTACATTTAAACACACAACTAATGCTTATTTTCGTTCGTAGACCACTCCTTAACACAATTAATGAACCACAATACATATGCATAGAATCAGTGCACTTCATTATGAAGTCGATCAGTACATGTGCTAATCAACAAACTGGTGTCCATGTGATGATTTCCGAAGATTGACAATCTCATTCATTGAGCGTTATCTGACAGTTTATTAACAGAATTCACGCATTTATGTGATGAAATGTGTCAGACCATTCAACAAGTCAGTAGACTCAATCTCATATGATTTTGAACAAGCTTCAGAGTTGTATCACACTTCGTTTCAGACACATGAATGATTGTGGAATTTCAGAGCTGTAGAACATCCGAGTAGGATTGGGTCGACTTAGAATGAATAGAGAAACACTTGAGTTGTTAGTTTCAGTGGAATAGTTGACATGTGAATTGTTGTGTTTCAGCTGAGATGATACACATTTGCAATATTCTAATGGTGTATCACAACCATAATTCTGTCAACTGTTCCATAATTTTGACTGTCATTCTGAACAGTAATGTTCGACGGATACTGTTCTTGTCTCTTCTGATTGTAGTGCAATGACGATATGTCATTTGTAATCTTCAACTTTCTTGGTCTCCATTCTGTGGCTGGCAGTATTAAAGAGAATGGATAGGATTTGCTAATACTGATTGGTCACCGACACCCCAGTAGTAGTGGTTGGATGAATATGACAAATTATCTCAACCACATTCTACAGGCATTTTTTCAACCGCGATGAATATCCGGACTGCAGTGTATGCATCAATCGTCTTTTCTCATTTCAGCGTTTTGAAATTTCAACCAACCAAATGGTCTTTCGAATTTGCCGTCAGTCGATTGCTTGTGTGAATATCACCATCACAACAATGTATCTTCCATCAAGTAGAATTCCGAAGAGAGTTGTTCTCGATCTCCTTCACTTGTTCGTGTTTCTACCTTCTCTCGATTCACTTAACTACTCAAACAAATTTCGGTTTTGCAAAACTAATTGATCTATTCACTTAGTATTGTTTGCATGAATGTTCCCATTGGTATTCAGGATCGTAATTGGTCACTCTCTTATTGACTTGTGTGCATCCTGTGCTGATTGCCTTGATATTGCCTTAATTCACAAACATTATAAACAAAGATGGATAGTGGTTGCTTGCAGTGGAATCCAGTTTGACATGCATGTCGTCCTATTTGGGACTCTTCAGTTGCAGTTCCAAAGAGAACATCAATTCTGAGATGCAGGTACATTCAGTTGACAAGTCCCACATAGAACGAAACACGCGTCAAAATGGATTCCGCTACTAACCATCGTCAGTGTGTGGAAATGATTGAAGGAATAATGTTTTTTTGTAAAAAATATCACGGAAAATTGAAATCGTTCTCCCTCAGTTACAATCCCCATCTTCTCACCACCCAACACGGTTACAATTTCTCTATTTGTTAATGTGTTCACATGAGCACAGAATATGAAATATACTAAATTATAGGTCTGTAAGTTGATGTGGAAATGGTCAATTGAATGAAATTGATCATGGATTCATTTCATAATTATCTCAGCTTAACCCATTCTTATAATTGTGAATTGGTGTGTCGGTATGTTGGGGGGTGGGGTGAGCAACACAGATAACAGTGTAAACTGGATTGTAGAATTGAATTTATGCATGTCAACACTAAACAATGTATGATTATACTCTACTCTCAGTCTCTCTCTATCCCTCTCTTTCTCTCTTTCTGTTACATACACATTCTCTCAGTGTATGCTGTGTATCATTGGTATGTTGTAACTTGATTATTAGACTGATACAATGATGAATATGATTGTGTATTGTGTAGATGTGATAGGATATTTAGTTGTTGTCATCGTCACAATTTGATAAGATAATCGATGTTGGTGTAAGATAACTTGAAATGACCACTTATAATAGTAATGATAATAATAACTGACTCAGATGGATGTGGTCATGATTGTTGTGAATGGGGAAAGTAATGTTGATGAGTCAGAATGAGTTTATAAATGGTGAGATGGTGTGAACTGGATCATTCCTCATTGAGTTAGTGATTGATTGCAATGAAGATAGATTGAGTATAGGATTCGTTATATCTCGTGTATCTTGCATCATGTGCAGTACATTCTCACTCAATAAGTGAATAATAAAAACAAGTCATCAGGAATATCCCATTCACTCATCATGTCAGGATTGGCTACCACATCATAGTTGAACTGATCCGAACTGAGCTGAATTACCAGTAACACCAAGTGATGTGATGTGATGTGATATGACGACTGATTACATCGATTCACGAATGAACACAAACAATCTGATCCTTCAACACTTTCTGCAATCAGTGTGTCTATCGATATTTAGACAGTGTTTGTAGATCAGAATAGGAGTGAAGAGGATATGTCCAACTATCACTACAACACTACTCATATTGTCTGTAAATTATTGTAGTTACATTGAGTTCACCTGTATAACTGCGGTGATTTTCACTGCAGATCCATCTATTCATCAATTCGTATGAAATTTTCTAATCGAATTTCTACATCGTTCGCCTCTCATGTTTGTATTCATGAGGAGAGCTGAATTGCCTTGTTAACACCTTGTTAACACCCTCTCATACATACACAAACACAAACACAACACACACAAGCGGAAAGAGAGAGTGAGGGAAGAGAGAGAGACAGAGACATACATCAAGTGAATTACGTCTGTTATTGTTATTATGATTATTATTATTGAAATGTGAGATCATATGGATCATATGACCAATTTGAATAAGTAGACTTCCAACCACTTTCACAAGTGTACATACAATGAGATATGAATGACCACATTCTGTATTTCTAGTCAATGATCTATAGTCTGTTTGCTTGTTTATTTGTTTCATGATGTTGTTGTTTCTTGTTCATTATTCACTTATCAATAATTATCAACTCAGTATGATGAATCTACCTAAGAAGTATGTGAATTGTCGATGATTACTCTTGTTATACTTCAATCGACTCAGAACACTCCTTCTAATTATAATCGGCTAAATTGATTATTGTCATTAATGTGAAGTCCATTTTACTGAATGAATGATTTGACTGTTTATGAGTTTGTT